TTTCTTGTCGAGCTGATTTTTGTGCGGGAAGGGGGCTCCCCGTTTTGTGCTTCTGAAGAAACGAAAGAAACACCTTTCTGAAAACATCTATACTATCAGGTGCTTTAAACAATACATGGAAATATTCTATGTATCCGATTGGTAGAAGTTTGCAGATTGTTTGACTCATGCTTCCTTCTCTACCATGGGAACTTTTGTGAAAGTTTGAAGGCAAAGAATGGTGGGATGGATCCTGACAGGAGAGTAAGGCAGCCAAAGAAACTCCACATTTTGCAAAAATGCTAAAATAAAATCCTACATTTTTGCAAAAATTCCAAAATAAAATGCATATTGCAAAATTCCAATATGAAATCCCACATTTTTTGCAAAAATTGCAAAGCAAAATCTTAGGTTTTGCAAAATTCCAAAACAAAATCCTATGATTTGCAAAAATTCCAAAAGAAAACTCCACATTTTTGCAAAATTCCAATATGAAATTCCATATTTTGCAAAAATTCCAAAGCAAAATCTTACGTTTTGCAGAAATGCCCAACCAAAATCCCACATGTCTGCAAAAATTCCAAAATAAAATCCATATTGCAAAATTCCAATATGAAATCCCACATTTTTTGAAAAAATTCCAAAGCAAAATCTTACGTTTTGCAAAATTACAAAACAAAACCCCATGTTTTGCAGAAATGCCCAAACAAAATCCCACATGTTTGCAAAAATTCCAAAATAAAAATCCATATTGCATAATTCCACATTGCAAAACTTCCAAAGCAAAATCTTACGTTTCGCAAAATTACAAAACAAAACCCCATGTTTTACAAACATTCCAAAACAAAGCCAAACATTTTTGAAAAAAATTCAAAACAAAATCCCACATTTTGCAAAAATTCCAAAACAAAATCCGTTTTTCAAAAATTCCAAAACAAAACCCCACATTTTGCAAAAATTCCAAAACAAAATCCCAAAGCAATTCCCTATTTTGCAAAATCCCTGACTTTGTCAAAGCGAGAAACCAAAGAATGGAGAACGAAGCTTTATGGGAGCGCAAATCCCAAATTTGACACAATTGCACATTTTGCAATAATAATAATAATAATAATGCAAGAACTAAGGAATTGGGGGACACAGCTTTCCAGAAGCGGGAGGTGGCGACAGAAATTCCTGATTTTGCAAAATCCCAAATGGAAAGAGGGGGCTTCTCCTTATCTGGGTCCAAGGAGTGTGAGGCCAGCTCTTCCTCCTCTTTGCAAACTGGTCTCTGGTTTCCTTTAAGCCCTTGGCTTTTCTGTGGGTCGCTTGCCCACCCCCCCAGGAGACCCGGCTGTGTTGGTTACTCCCCGGTTGGTAGGGGAACACCTGTCCCTCCAGAGCTATTTTTAATTAAAACTGGTGGAGGTTGACACTCAAGGATTCCCTGCCCGCTTCTCTTCCCACTCCCTGCCTTTCCTCTCTCGGTTGACACCTTTCTCCCATATTATTTGAGTCATATGCGGGCCGTCCCCGAGTTACAAACATCCGACTCCTAGTTAAGAACAGGGCTGGACTGGATGCTCTTTGGGGGACCCTTCCAAATCTGTGATGCTATATCTCCTAGTTAAGAACAGGAAAGGAGAGGAATCTTATATTATGCATTTTCAGAAATAGTATATTATATTATTATTATTATTATTATTATTATTATTATTATTATTATATAAGGTAAAGGTTTTCCCCTGACATTAAGTCCAGTTGTGCCCGATTCTGGGGATTGGTGCTCGTCCACATATCTAAGCTGAAGTTCAGCAGCTCAGCGGTTTAACCTGCTGCGCCACCAGGAGCTCCGTCAGGCAGCCCCCAAGTTACAGACTTCTAGGTTGGCAGAAGCTGGGGCTAACATCAGGAGCTCACCCCGCTCCGGTTAGCAAGTTCAGTTGTCCATAGACACCTCCAAGGTCATGTGGCCGGCATGACTGCATGAAGTGCCGTTAAGCTAAAGGTATTCATCACCCGATATTAAGTCCAGTCGTGTCCAACTCTAGGACTGTGGTGCTCACCTCCATTGCTAAGCCGAAGAGCCGGCGTTGTCCTTAGACATCTCCAAGGTCATGTGGCCAGCATGACTGCATGAAGTGCCATTAAGGTATTCACCACCCGACATTAAATCCAGTCGTGTCCGACTCTGGTGCTCACCTCCATTGCTAAGCCGAAGAGCCGGCGTTGTCCTTAGACACCTCCAAGGTCATGTGGGTACTGGCATGACTGCATGGAATGCTGTTACCTTCCCGCAGGAGCGGTACCTGTTGATCTGCTCACATTTGCATGTTTTCAAACTGCTAGGTTGGCAGAAGCTGGGCAACAGCGGGAGCTCACCTGTCCCGCAGATTCGAACCTGCGACCTCTGGTTAGCAAGTTTAGCAGCTCAGCAGCACCAGGAAATCCATCAGGTAGCCCCCAAGTTACAAACTTCCAGGTTGGCAGAAGCTGGAGCTAACGTTGGGAGCTCATCCCGCTCCGGTTAGCAAGTTCAGCA